AAAGAAAGACAGAAATGTCAAGAAATTCATTGCTTATTTAAAAAAAAACTTTATGGTGATTTGGGTGAATTTTCATTTGTTTTTGAAGAAATTAGAATAGTAATTCACTGAGCAAAATTCTTCTAGGACAAGTTAGACACAGACTGAAAATAAAATCTATCAGGTAAGTGAAAAAATGTTAAGTATAACCAAGTAATTTATGAGCCATTTTATTCATAAGTGCTTGCCAATGAACACCCTATCTTAACCAATTCTAAATATAATTTCCATTTTATCCTTCTCAATGATTTAAGAAATCTGACCTGGATTCATCTCTCATCATTTCTTTTCCAGAAGACTCTGTCCCTACACTATTTAAGAGATGCCATGTTTCTGCCTAGGAAACCAATGGTCATTCTGTTGTTTGCCCAGACTCTAGCACATGCAAGGCATTCACTAAATATTTGGTGAATGGTACTGTCATTCCCTGTCATACTCTCAAGTCATGTCTTTAAATCACTAAAGTAATAAAGTTGGCTATACAGTTTAATATAGTTCTTCAGGCTGTAAAGAAAATATTCTCAAACAAGCATCCTCAGCAGTTAGTTAATGGTTTAGGCAGGCCACTCCCTATCATCCTTGTGCTCTGGAGACCCAGACATCACAGAGTAAATCCGACTACTCACCTCCACACAGTACTGGGACAAAGCTGCGAGTGCCAAATCGCTGTGAGGAGACAAGTCACAGGACTGGACGATGCTATGATGTCCTGTGTGGATTTCTGCCAAAAGGTCACTGGTGTCAGTGTCAAAAAGCTGTCAACATAAAATATAGAGATATCTATAAAAATAAAATATTCTAAAGTGTAAGCCATACCCTAACTGACTTTAAACTATTTTTAAAAGAATTTCCTCCCATTTCAAATGTAAAATATAACATATGAAAAAATACTTCAATTACTGGTAACAGGAATAATTACTGATAGTCATAAATAAGTTATAGGTCAACATACATATACTTTTAAAGTACTGCTCATCTTGAACCATTTTTTTTTTAAATTTTACTGTGGAGAAAACATACATACCAAGACATTCATCAACATAACAACTTCCACATGTACAGCTCAGGGACATTGATGGCATTTTTCATGTTGTGCCACCATTATTGCTCTCCTTTTCCAAAATATTCCACCACCATTAGCAGAAACTCAATGCCCCACAAACAAAAGCTTCCCCCTTCTCCCTCCCTCCTACCTCTGGTTGAACTATATTTTTATAAAGGAAAATTCATCACAGATGATCTCTCAAGATGGTCCAGGAAGAAATAAAACCTTTGTGAATAAATCAATGAACTAGCCAAATTAACATACAGAGCAAGTTCTCCCTAATGCTTGTTTATTCAAAAGAAAAAAATGCATACTCATCAATGAAGATCATCAAAATAATATAGAGCAGAGGCTTGCTAAAATGGAATTAGCTCAATCATTTCTATTTCTCTCCAGAGCTACCAAATGACTACATTACAATCAATCATTTACCCATTTTTGAATTTAAAAAAAAAGCTATTTTTGAGTAATTCAAGCCTCTTCATTTCAATTTCTGAAGGATGTTTAAATGCTGAATATACTCTTTTGAAATTTTTCCCAAATGACAAGAACATTTGTACCATTATACAGTACAGATTTAAGACCAAGTCATAGTTCTCAGGAAGGGAAAAAAAAAGCTTCCAATGGGATCCATAAAGGTGTCTAGTGAAAGCACAGCCCTGCAAGGCTGAACAGATGGTAAGCAGCCCCGACGGGGAGGGGGAGAGAGCAGCAACAAAGGACAGGAAATCATACTTAAAATGCTTCCCAGGGTGGGTCATTCTTAAAAATCAGTGACTAAGAGAGAGAAAGAGAAAACGGCAAATCCCAAATACAGCTGTCCCAATTATCTGAGTAGCAAAAAGAAAAGACCTAACAATAGGAGTGGGCTAACAGCACAAGAGAGTTGGACAGAAGAGAAAGAGGATGGAGAGATGAAAGAGTAAGGAACTGAAATCAGCACGTAGGTAAGGGTGAGCTAAGGCTCGCTACTTTAATACTGTTAATAGGGAGCTGGGCTACAGACTCCTAAAACTGGAAGGTATTTCATGCATCTCTCTCACTTAAACAGGTCTTTTAAAATCTTTAAGTATTGCAAATGCAGTAGCTCCTTTTCTGTTCTTACAGACTTTAACAAAATTAAGACAAAAGGAGATTTTTTTTTCTGAGTCTCCTGCTTAAGAGGTATAAACCTATAAGCAACCAAGACCCAAAGGTCATAGCTATTAAATGAGTTACAATCGTATATACAGTGCCTCAGTGAGTTTTCATCTCACTATATTGTGTATTTCTTTTATGTTCTTTAAAACAATACTAGCCTTTATTCAGGTCTTTTAAAATTACTATTAAAATAGATGTCCCTGAGTCATGAATCAGAAGACCTAGCTAGCTCTCCCAATCATGGTGTCACTTTGGAAAAATTATTTGGCTGCTCTGAATTTCAGTTTCTTCATTATTATCACAGGGTTATGCCTAAGGCACTTGACTGCTAACCAGAAAGCTGGCAGTTCAAACCCATCAGCCACTCCTAAGAAGGAAGGTTGGGCAATCTACTTCTGTAGTGATACTGCCTCAGAAACCCAAGGAGAGGTCGCTGTGAGTCAGTTCCAACTTGATGGCAGTGAGTCTGGTTTGTTTTTATTGCTATCTGCTGCGTCCCTTAGCTATTGATATCAAAAGAAAATATATGTGAGAGCACTAAGAATACCACTAATGTAAGCCATTATTAAATTTTAGGAAAAAAAAGGCATTTCCTTGTCATTTACTTTTTTGTACAACTGCCACACTGACTTCATAAAAATCTCCCATCTTCTTTAGTCATGGACTCTATCAGAGTTACCAAATCACAAAATTTTAAGAACAGAAAGAGCTTTGAACATTACCTAATATGTTCCAAATTGTAAAAATACTTCCCTCCACCCGCCCCAAAAAAGAGTGGTGAAGACGGTGTTCCACATTTAAACACATTTGAAAAACACTGGAATATTAAACAATATAAATTGTGTCTGCATTGTAGGGCTTTCTGGAGCCTTATATATGTTAGTACACATTGCCCAAACCTGTGCAACCATACAGACCTTTGCTCATGAGACCCGCCAATATGCCCTGGGGCTCAGTTCCAAAAAACTATGAGGTGTTAGAGAACCTACCCCAAATCATACAGCTAGACTTTACTTATAAACAATGTAAAATGCACAAATCAATATCAATAGAAGTTTCCATTTTCTCTAAATTAGACTAAATGTGGCTTTTTTAAATACTAGCACTTACAAACATTTTATGTCTTGCTGCCACCATTATCCTGGCTCCATCAGCAGTCCAGGAACAGCATTTCACTATCACTTCCACATCCTCTTGAGGCTCCTCTGAACTCAGGAAGAACTGCTTCACATTAATGCTTTGCCACTCATTTGCTGATCTCACATTCCAAAGCTTCAAATTGAAAGGGGGAAAAAAAAGTTTGTAATCTCAAATCACACCTCTAGAATTCCACCTGGGCTAAATGTCTCCATAAAATTACTCATTTCACCTCACAAATTGTTTTTACCTATGTATGGCTTTTTAAGACTATTAATTAGTTTCATTCATCACCTTCTTGCAAAGAAAAAAATTAGAAGCACTGCCCAAAATGCAGAATGCAAAATGTGAAATCAAATAAAATGTGAAAGAGCAGAGCAAGGTTTGAAGGAGGTTAAAGATTAGGTCTTAGCAGTAAGGACCAACCTCAGAAAAAGAGTAAGAAGAAATGAAAAGACTCACAACTTGCCAGTGCTGCCCTCTGCTGTGCCAGCCACGATGTTTGCTCACAATTTACCATATGCACAGCACGAACCCTACACAGCCGAATTACACTCTAGTAGAAGAAGCTCTGATGGCGTAGTACCTAAGGCATTTGACTGCTAACCAGAAGGCTGGCAGCTCAAACCCACCAGCCACTCCTCAGAAGGAAGGTTGGGCAATCTACTTCCGTAGTGATACTCCCTCAGAAACCCAAGGAGGGGGTCGCTATGAGTTGGATCCAACTCGACGGCAGTGAGTTTGGTTTTGGTTAGAGCACATAGAGACATAAAAATATCTCTGAAAATAGAAAACAAAGAATATGCTAAAAGAAAGCAAGACAATCTATGTGCTTGGTGGGGCTTATAATGCCAATTGAATCCTGAGCAACGGGATACAAAATACCCCAAACCTCACTCCTAGTAGAGCCACTTAAACAGCACAAAAGACAAAGGCCTTTGAGAAGATCTATCTTCACTCTCCTGGACCCCTAGCAATATCCCAGCTTCACAGCACAGTAATGGCTCCATTCCCAGACCAAGTACAAGGACCAAAAAAAGCTGCTTCTCAGGCTTTAACTCAGCTTCCCAAACACTGCCCTCAGGTCAAACCTGATTTGTCTCTCCAGGCACATTTTTAAATCTCTCTTTATTTTATAGAGCATATTATATATACCAAGAAATACAGCCAAAACCAAAACCTTTTCCCCTTACACCAACTCTGGATAAACTGGATAACGTGAGAGAAGACAGCAGCATGAAAATAGTTAGTCTTCCCCGCTCCACAGGAGGAAGATGGAGCAATCTACGTCTGTAAAGACTTACAATCTTGGAAACCCAATGAAGGTCGCTTGGAAACCCAATGAAGGTCGCTTGGAAACCCAATGAAGGTCGCTATGGATCGGAATCAATTCGATGGCTGTGGGTTTGGTTTTTGGTTGACACTAACGAGGGGAAAGAAACCTAACCGTAAATGCCAACAGCTGCACTTACATCACCCAGAATGTATGAGAAATCACTCTATTTCTCTCTTAACCTGGAAAACAAAATAACCAATGCCTAGATTTCAAAGAGAAAAATGAAACATACATAAATAAATAAGTAACACTGCTTTTATTTTCTTATCACTCAATTTTATTATATCTGCCTAAACTGCACCTTCGGCTTCTGGACCTAGGGAAGCCCTGACCTCAGTACCTACCTAACCTAGCAGTGATGAAACCTCACTATGATGGGGCCGAGGAAACTAACACCAGCGTTGCATTGTGAGCAAATCACTGCCCTGTATCAGGGTGCAGGTGCACCCTATGTTCTTTTATGCCTTAAATAGCAATTTTTAAATAAAATTTGCACTTTGAAATAATTTATCATCAAAGCCTAAAAAATACATGCTTATAAACAGGATACCCTACCAAATGTTTAGAAAAGTACAGAGCCATTTGGGGCAGGAAATAATGTTACAGTTCTTCATCCTCTCAGAAGGCAAACACTTTGGAAGACTTTGACCTTGAAATGCTGTTATCCAACATCATTTTGCAGGACCTCTGCTTACTACACTGTCACTCTATCAGTGCAAACCAGCCAAGAATGCGGGCGTAACAGCACTGTGGGAAAGCTGCCACAAACACAGGCAGTGCTCACCCGGAGTGCAGTAATGTGTGTCCCCTGCTGCCAGTGCTCTGTTTTACAAGCACATTTTGACACTCAGACACGAATGCAAAAACCAAAATCTTATCCCTGACAAGTGGGGACTTTTAAAAATTTTTCTTTGAGTTTGATTTGAGAAGTCTTAGTTTGATTTGAAGGGGACACAGCAAGAGTTTATCATCTTCAACACATTTATCAAACACTATGCTAGTCACCTTGAGGTTACATAAACGAATCAGATATGCATATTACCCTCTAGGAGTTTACAGGTCAGTAAGGGAGGCAAGATATGCATATAAATGACTCTAACACAAGCCATATCAGATGTGTCATAGGAGAGGAAAGGACACAGCACAGTGGGAATGCTTTACTCAAGCTATAGTGTTGGCATGAAGAAACACAACGTGTAGAGGGGTAACCACCTCACTCTACCCTCTAAAGATTAGCCTACCTTACACCAACTTAAGATGGACACGATTTCAACATCAAAAACACAGGAAGAAACTACAGGGCCTAGAGTCTAGGGTAAAGGCACAGAATGAGAAAGCAAAGGTAACAAAACGTGTTCAGTCAGGGTGGAGCATCCCCACCCACACTGCAGAAATTCCTAATAGGCTCATAAAGTGTTGGCACTGAGTGCTTTCTGGTAAGGGTGGGAATCAATCAGGAGGAACTGTTGAAAGTCCACTGAAATCCCCTCCCTCCCTCCAGGTTCTGCCATGTACCTACTCTGGCAAAAAACAGAGGATTATTCTATACTCAACACAACTGAGTGTTGGGATGGAGTCACTACAGTGAAAACAGGAGAATTAAGAGAAAATCTCTATTTTAAATGTTGAGGTCTCTACCTAGGCAGTGTCCTAGAACTTGCCAGCCAGACTTATGCCCTATAGGGAGATGACTGCAGATTCTTCTCTGAACACCTCAAGAGCAAGATGAAGACAAAAGACATCAGGAATTCACCTTCAAAACTTCATAGCCAGAAAACTCTATCAGGAAACCCACAATAAACAAATTCCCAATTCCTAGTCAGCTTTTTGGTGCTTCAATCTTAAACATGAGCAAATAGCCAAGGATCAGACAGCTGAGAAATGTCTCTAACATGCAGACAGAAATGAAAATGAACAAACAGAAAAACAACAACTGTGTAGGTATGTGGGGGAAAAAATAAAATAAAATATTGCATTCATGAAACTAGAATAGGATAATATTTTGAAAGGGAACATTTAATAAGAATGAGTATTTAAACTGAGTACTTGAAAATACAGTAACAGAAATTATAAACTCAATAGCAAGGTTGGAAAATAAAGCTAAAGAAATCTTCCAAAAAGTAAAGCAAGCGAAAGAATAATGTAGAATCTGCAAAACACCGCATAACGTGGATGAACTTGGAGGACATTATGCTGAGCGAAATAAGTCAGTCACAAAAGGACAAATATTGTATTAGTCCGTTATTGTGAAAGTTAAGGAAAGGTTTATATATTGGAGGACATTTTCTTTGTTGGGTACCAGGGGTGGGAGGGAAGGGGAGGGAATGCTGTTAGATAGATAGAGATAAATATTGATTTGGGTGAAGAGAAGGGCAATGTCCCAAATGTGAGTGACCAATATGGCAGCATTGAGGATGAGAAAGACAGAGAGAGTTACATGGGCAGTACAAACAACAAATATGAACCCCTTTGTAAATACAATACTGAGTTGTCAATGAAAGCAAACATGGGTATAGGGACGGATAGATGGGTGAACAAGCTAAACAATTATGTATGTCTAAATGGAGAGTGTATCCAAGATCATATACAGGGTTGGCAGACAATGGGCCTCTCGAAGAGTATGAAGGGATGGACACTGGGAGGAGGTAACTATGGGGAGGAAGTGGGAGAGGAGCTGCTGCATTGTAAATTTTGGTCAATGACATGAGACAAAGTATATGTGAACTGCTGTATGAAAAGTGAATTTACTCTGTAAATCTTCACCCAAATCCTAATTAAAAAAAAAAAATAAGAAAGAAAAATGTGAAAAAAAAGTAAAGCAAGCGGACAAAGAGAGGATGGAGAGAAAATAAATAAATAAATAAGAAAACATCTAAAAACAAACATTCCAGAAAGAAGTCAAATAAATAATTCAAGTAAACCTCCACAAAGCATCTAAGTTCCCAAAGTAAAAAGAGTCACCAAGTACCATGCACAATAAGTGAAGATAGATGCCAAGGTACATTAACACACACACACACATACACACAGGGGATAAAGAGAAGATCCTAAAACTTTCAAGAGAGAAAAAGAGATCATATACAAACAGTCAGAAATAAGAATGATTTCAAACTTCTTAAGAGGAACTTTGGAAGTTAGAAGACAATGAAGCCATGTCTCTAAGATTCTGAGGAAAAAAATTTTCAATCTAGAACTCTGCACACAGTCAGAAATATCCAAGTACAAAGTTAGAATAAAAATACTTTTAGACAAACAAGGTCTCAAAAATTTACTTCCTGTACATTCTTTCTCAGGAAGCTAGAGAGATGCCCCATGAAGCTGAAAGAGTAAGAGAAGATAGTAAGAAATCCATGAAGCAAGGGTTTTAGGAGAAAAGGAAAAGGAATTCTCAGGCTGATGCTCAAAAGAGATCACAGAAGGGTACTTGGACAATAGGAGAGGAGCACTGATGAGAATGGAACAAGACAAAAGACTTCAGGAAAGTTATTTCCAAGAAAATAAAATTTATCAGATATGTTTCAATGATTTAAGAAAGAATTTAGACAAGGACAGTTACAAGATGACTTAATATGTAAGTATGGGAAAAGCTAAGCACATGAAAAAAAACAAACTATAAGTAACCCCAGGGAAAACTAAAAGTTACATGAGAAAGGAAACAGACTCATGTGATGTTACATGACACAACTATGACTGATCACAATGATGGAAACACTGAACACTGATCTAATAAAAACTCTGAAAAATGTAGGGGCCAGAAAAAGTGGATCAGGTTTGGGAAGAAAAATCATTAGTTTCGTGTGGAACACAGTTAAGTTTGAGGCATGGTGTGCTATTTAGTGAGAAACATTAGCAGGCAGTTAGAAATGCAGGACCCAACACTTAAGAGAAATTAGGGCTGAAGATGATACATCTGCATGTCACTCAGAGAAGAGATGAGAGTTGAAGCCATAAGATCAGATGAACTAGGATGGAGGTAGCTGTCAAGGCCTGATGCTAGAAGCCGATCTATAGTTAACACACATAGGAAAGAGTTAAAAGAAAGTGTTAGAGAGATAAGGGGAAAAAGAATGAAACACTGGTGTCCAAAGAGGAGAGTTTCAAAAAGGAAACAGGTGGTCAATGAGCATTTTAAAACTGATAATAAAACAAAAAGCATAAGGATTTAGAAAATAAAATTATCATTAGATTTCACCTTAATCCAACAGGCTTTATAACATAAAAGAATGAGGACTTCATGACATAAAAGAATGAGGACCGAAAATAAAACTAGATTTTATACTCTTTAAGGAAATACAGGAAAGAAGCAAGCCAAACAAAAAAGGGTAAAGTAGTGAGTAGGTAGTTAGGAAATGGAGGCAAGTATGCTCTGGTGGCATAGTGGGTAAAACATCTGGCTGCTAACCAGAAGGTCACCGGTTCAGATCTGCTTCTTCCTGCTCCACAGGAGAAAGACATGGCAATCTATTTCCATAAGGATTTACAGCCTTGGAAACCCAACTGGGGTCACTATGAGTCAGAATCAACTCGATGGCAGTGGGTTTATTTTTTTGGTATAGATGACTTAAGAAGTCTAGTTATAAAGAGAAAAATGGAAGGGCTATGTGAAAGAATAATATAATCAAGGAAGAGTCAAAGCTTTCAGTTTTGGTTTTATAAAGCCCATTTGTAGACTATGGGAAACGATGGAATAAAGAACAAAGGCAAAAGATATAACCCATGAAGCAAGATGACAAGGGAAGAAGGAAAGAAAGAACAGTACACACATGTGGAGACTTTCTAGGCATTGAGATGAGGAGAAAAGGAAGAACAGCCAAGAGTAAAGACTTTTTACAATTTTTGAGGGGGTTAATGGTAGAAAGCTCACCCTCTAAAGATATCAGGTAAAATTACCTCCATAAAATAATGGAGAGGCAGTGACAAGGTTGGGAGCTTAAGAACAGCAGAAGTTTGGACCAGGCATCACAGAGAAAACAGCAAGTCAGACAAACAGAACCGTAATTCAGCACCAAAGAAGGCCCACTACAGTTGCACAGCACAATTCTGTAGTACAACAAAGAAATGGTTTGGTTTCAAATTCTCTTGAACATTCAATAGCTTAATAATAATTAAGTAATGCCAAAGATAAAGGAGCTCTGGTGGTATAGTGGGTAAGGCATTTGGCTGCTAACCAGAGCAGCAGTTCAAACCCACCAGCTTCTCCATAGGAGGAAGATGAGGCAAACTACTGCCATAAAGATTTATAGCCTTGGAAATCCAATGGGGGTCACTATGAGTTGGAACTAATTTGATGGCTGTGAGTTTATTATCAAGGATAAAAGAATCTTCCCAGAACTTGCAATTAGCAATGGAGAAAAAAATGGTAGAAGTATGTGGCTTAAGATATAAAATCCCTTCTTATGAAGTCATTCATTTAGTAAAAAACCAAGGGGGGAAGAAAAGACTCATAGGGCTGAAAGGAACTCAGAACAGGGCTGTCTGAATCCATTCAAGGGAGTTCTGCTTCTATGATACTGATTAGCCTAAAGGAATACTTGGTATTTGTAGGTAACATGTCACAGAAGCTCAAATCCCGTTATCTGAATATTCTAAGAATGCTCCCAGGGTCTACTAGCAGCTAGCTGAATTCCATAAAGTAGAATTCTACCCAGAAAGGGTTCCTAGACATCCTGGAGCAATGTATACAAAAATGACTTATTCTGTCAGTCAAAAGAGAGATCAAAGATTCAACCAGAAAATCAGCCTCAGAAAGTGTACCATAACCTGCCTTACAAGTCATCTAGTAAGCCTTGACAAATCTGCTCCAGAGATTCTAACAAGCAAAATAGTGCTGGGGAGGGTTCAAGTACTTTCCTGATCCCTGGATAAGATATATGTTAAGAATATTTATTCACTGCATAGTCTGGGTGCAATACTGTACTACAACCTTTAGAAAAAAATAAGAAGATGTCAAGGTCCACACATCATAAACTATATTTAATCTTATCAAAGAGATGGAAGATAAATAAAATGACTGAACAGTACAACACAATGACAAGTGGGTATCAGAACGTAAGCTGAGCAGTGTCTATCTGTATTTCTAGGTATATATTTAGATATAAATGTACAGAGACAGACGTATGTGTGTGTGTACCGAGAACCAAATGGATGACATATGAAAACACCTACTGAAGAAGGTTCTACTTTAAGTTTTTAAGATAATTAAAAAATACAGACAAGTGAATCAGAGGCAAATCACCAGAAAGTCTACATACAGAGGAAAAGTGATTGAAAAGAGTACCAAAATTTACCTTGCCCAGAACAACTGACCTGGCAGGGCTAGAAGAAATAAACTGAATAGGAAAGAAGGTGACAATAACAGAAGATAAAGTATGTTAGAGATGAGCCTGGGAAGTTTGTGTTTACTATAATTTGTAATATGGTACTAGATGCACCCCAGCTAAAAGTGACAAGATGAAAACAGTGGTAAAGGGTTATTCTAGCAGCTCTGCGCTGGGGTAAGGAGAGGTGGAGAGTACATCTTAGAAGGCTGCTATCACACCTGAGGGCTAACAGCCTGAGGCAGGGCAACTACTACAGAATGGGAGAGGAAAAAAAAGGGAGAGAAACAAAGAAATCAAGGATATACTTGACTTAAGACTAAAACAAGAAAGGAGAACCAATGAGCAGGGCACAGTAGAGACAGAAATAAGAAAGAAATTGGGACTAGGATCTTATTTGAGAAGGTAAAGATAAGAAGGAAGGTTTTAATTTTTTAGGACTATAAATTTCAGGAAGTTGAGTAAACTTTTTTCCTTACTTCTAAGTTTTTCCCCATATGGACTTTCAAAAACAGGAAAACAGTAATATAAAAGGCAGAAACAGTAAAATGCTTAATAAAAACAAGACTGTCACAAATTTGACCCTATAGATTTTGAAGTATTTTATGAAGCCAAAACATGCGATATATGCTTAAAATTTAAGAGTTCAAATTATATGAACTTTAAGCTTAAGGTTGCAAGTTATTCATAAACAATCACAACAAGCAATTACTGTTTTACTATATATGCTTCTGGAAGTTGAAAAAAGAAACTATTTTTATAGAAATGTGAAAAACAGAAATCTATTTGTCCAAATGGTAAGACTTTCCATAAAATTAAAATCCATTTTAATGATGTGTAAAGGCATACCTTTAATGTTCCATCAGATGAGCAACTGGCCAAAAGCTTATCATCTGGTGAAAATCTACAGTGATTGACTGAATTTGTATGGCCAAACATGGTATTTCGACATCGTTTTTGATTCAAATCCCAGAGCTATTTGAGAAAGAGGAAAAGATAAATATAAAAAACTAGTACTGAAAAGGAAAAGGTTAAGAATCATGTAGAGTTCTTCTTTGCCTGCCATTTAAGCTTTTTGGGTTATAACATGTTCAGTTCACAGTAACACAAAAGTGCCATGAACTTGTGATTAACAACTAATGGGGCATCCCTTCAATCAGCATCTAAATCTACTAAGGGACTCTAAGGCTAACTAGGATTTTAGTCTGAGCATTAATCAACCAACTAAACAACTACTGCTTATTTTAGTTGATTAGTTTGTAAACATTATTATTTTACTCAGCACTTGAAGCCAAGTAGAGTCAAATTTCAGCCTGCATCCCCAGTTGGAGGCACATAAGTAAACAGGTAACTCAGTTCCTTAAGAATGAAAGGTCAATTTACACTTTGTCTCCATGTTATCCCCTAGAAACAGGTGATAAGTATGTTAATGTGTTTCAGGAGACAACTTGAAAAGTGACTTTGGCCCATGGGACATACCCAGTGAGACAAACAGGAACAAAGTTGCTGGGAACTGACATTCTCCTCTCTGCCTAAGCCCCGATCAGCTGATGACAGGAAGCCGGTGTGACTCATCCAGTGCACAAGTGCACTGCATTAAAAAAAAAGACTGCCCCTTTAAACCAAGGCAAAGGAAATTTCAGCCAACCCTCAACTAATTCATGGCCAAATTCCTGAAATTGTTATGAACAGGTATAACCCCCTCTCCTGAAACTTATAAAAACTTAACCTGACTACCATTTGAGGAGTCAGATTTGGGTCAGAACCGTCTCCTTGCATTGCCACTTTGCAATAAATAATTTTCTCTCCTCTTAATCACTCGGTGTGTAAACTGTTTTGGAGTGACTGCGCACCAGGCAGGGACCCACATTTGGTCCGCTTTCACACTTACAATAAGTAAGTACATATCTACTCCTCACCGACATGGCAGGTTGTTAGGAGAAAACAGGCATTATGTAAAACTTCAGTGACCAAATGCTCCTCAGGCTCCAGGAGCCACTTTGGCGGTAACCCTGTGGGGCTGCTCCATGTCCTGCAGCTGCCGTCTGTAGCTCACTCACTGATCTTCACTCATCTCTGCGTCTCTCGATCCATAACTTCATATTCATACTCTGGGCCAGTGGTTAATGACTGGGTCAGGATTTACAGCCAGGAAAGGACTCACCCTAACCTAACCCACATGGAGTTCTTGCTCTCCACAGAGAAACCCACCCTATACACACATCCGGGAGTAATATCTGCTGGCCCTAGGCCAATACACAAACAGCAGATCTCAAGATCTGCAGCCAAGTGCCACACAGCCAAGTGCCATGCATGCAACCCTCTGCAGACAACTTTCCGTGGGGCAACACCAGTCTGAAGCCAGACTGGGACCCAAGGAATGCAGCACATGCACAGGTTAATGGCCTGAGGACCTGGCATTCAGTTTTGTTTTGTTTTTTCCTTTTTCAACTTTATTTGCATCCAAGACTAGGGAGAGAGAAGGGATGAGAGGGATCAAGGACTTGGGGCTCAGGACGGAGACACTCTCTCACTCAGAACACATGAGTCTTTACCTGGCTATAAGAGATTTAAGCAGATTTTTCACTATTGTAAATGTGACGTGTCAGATAACAAAATAGTAAAGTGGGGAGAAAGGGTGTATATGTAATATGAATTACCAAATTAAAAAAAAAAAAATCGTATCTGTGATAGTTGGAGCTGTGTGCCAACTTGGCTGGACCACAATTCTGTGCGGTTTAAGCAATTGTGATGTGGGTTATTCCAATGATGGGATCAGATGCATATGTTTTGAGCAGCCAATCCATTGAAAGGGAGTTTTCCTAGGGGTGTGGCCTACTTCCAGTATATTTATGGAGATCCAGGGAAAAGAGACACTCTTCTGTGGATAGGGATTCTGTCTACCACTGTCCGTGAGCGAACAAACCACCATTTGGCCTGGAGATCTTGGATTCGTCATTTGTTGGAGTCAACAGCCAGTGTACTGTCTGCCAACTTTGAGCTCCTCAGCCCCTGCAGCTGCATGAGTCGGGAAAAGCCTCCAGCTTGACGTTTGATCCAAGAACTTGGGACTTGCTGGCTTTTGTAAGTGTGTGAGCTAGTTTCCTAAGATAAATTTCTCTTTCTACCTATATATAAGCTTTACTGGTTTTGTTTCTCTAGAGAACCCAGTCTAACACATTTGGTACCGAGTGGTGGGGTGCTGCTCTAACAGATACCTAAAATGTAGAAACAGGAATGGAGTGCATCCTTGACCCGAGACCCTGGCAGAGAGACCCTGGCATATGGCATGAGAGACAGCAGGAGGACAGCCAAGAGACCAGCATGAGAGACAGCAGGAGCAGAGCCGACGGACCAGCATGAGAGACGGCAATGGCAGAGCCCAGAGGTCGCCATTAAACAGCAACACACTTACCAGCCCATGGAGGAAAAAGCCAGGTGCCATTGGGTAGACAGCTTCCTGGCGGAGTGGACTGCCTTCGGGCATTAATTGGTAGAGAAGCCTGGCATAAAATGGAATAGCAGGTTGGCCGGTCCACGGAGCAAGAAAACTGAGTGTTTTTAGGGCAGTAAGAGATCCTGTGGAGTGGGTTATCTTTGGCAGAAGCAGAGAGACCAAAGAAACAGAAGCAGAGCTTCCTCAGCCAGAAAGGGTAGGACCATGGCCTTTGGGGGTAGAACCACCACAGCCCCCTAGGTTTCAGAGCCAGACCTTCACCAACTTGGTTCTGGAGTGTGGGGCTACTCATTCATGTGAGCCAGAGGGATGGAGCCATAGCCACTGCCCAAGAATGAGGGGGCGGGGTTTGCTATGTCCAAGAGGGAGAGGAGCGGGGCCCACCAGGCCAAGGGGGTGAGGTCACCACTTAGAGGAACTAGGGGACTGCATCCACCCAGTGGAGGAGATCTGTACAGATGCCACCCAATGAAGATCTGTACAGATGCCAAGCTGACAAGGGGTGGAATTGTGGTAGTTCAGTTTGTGTGTCAACTTGGCTGCGCCTGGTTGAGTGGCTTGGCAGCCGGATGTAGTATTCCCCATGATGGTAATCAACTCCATGGTGATTACTGTGAGCAGCTGAGTGAGCTGTGAGTGTGAGCCTTAGGGAATGTGGTCTGCTTCCTGTATATAAGCAGAAGCCTTGAGGAACAGTCTCTAGCTTATGGCATGCTTGAACCCTGCATGTAGCCGTATCGTTGTTCAGCAGCCTGCCATGCTCTGCCGACCTTGGGACTTAAAATTGACTTAAATTAATGGCCTGCTGTGTGGTTTGGTAACATCAGGACTATGCCGCCTTATTTGTCACCCTTGGGCTTGGCAGCCTCAGCAGCCAGCCGCTGTCTGAGCAAAGAAATGCATCTAGCTCCAATGGGCCAGAAGCAAGAAGCAGAGCTGGACCCCAAGGTTGAGGGGCTTTCCCCCAGCCCCTAGAGCCTGGCACTTCGAACATGGACTTAAAGCCTCCAAACTCTAACAGAATAAACTCCTGTTTGTTAAGGCCATCCCATTTGTAGCATATTCTTGTCAGAGTGGCATTAGGTAATCAGAATAATATCCAACTCTAAAAATGTTCATTTTTAAGATTCCCCAATCTAAATCTTAAATCTACAAACTGGGATAAAATCTACTAACACTATAAAACTGTGATTCAAAACATACAAAGATCTCTTTATAAATAAATACATTTGAAAGGAAATATAAAGGGTAAGAAGAGCAAGTTCAAGAATCCCCAAGGAAGCAATCAACCCTCAACGTGGGGAATTCCATAGGACAAATTACTCCACCTCCCTAACAAATCAGTAGCATAAAAAGGGGATCAAGGGCAACTTTTATAAGAGAGACTTAAGAAACATAACAATCAAACGGCACATGAAGTTGTTTGGATTCCAGTTTAACAAACCTACATGAAAAAGACAACTGAGACCACAGGGGAAAAGTGAACATGGACAAGGTGTATTATGAAATTACTGTTAATTATGTTAGACATGATAATGTACATGTGTTTAAGAGCTCAGAGATATGTTTGGAAACATTTCTGATGAAATGACATTATGTGTGGATTTGGCAAAAAATGTTCTAATCTGAAAAAAGGGGTGGTGGTGGCGGTAAAGTAAGATTATCAAAATGTTGATGGCTGTTGAGCTGGATGAGATGTAAGGATTCATTATTCTAGTCTCTCTACTTTGGGGTATGTTTGAAAAGCATAAAAAATGCAAGCACAGAAGGGGCTAAGATCATCTCTGATTATTTATGCTAACATAATTAAACCTAGATGACATGGTGATGCAGTGCTTAAAGCACTCAGCTACTGACCAAGAGGTCTGGAGTTTGAACCCAACAGCCGTTCCATGAGAGGAAGGTAAAGCAAACTACTTCTGTAAAGACTGACAGCCTTGGGAGACTTCTGGTAATATGGAGGAATAGGCAGACAAGCGACACAGACCCTCTTCAACAAAGAAAAGAAAAGCCAATTGACAGAGATAAAGAAGATAATCTGGGACCCCTGAGCTTTGAAAGGAACT